CCTAAATAATAAGGTTTTAGTATAATATTACTAGCTTTAAGCTTATAACTTATAGTTTAATAACTTAACTAAATTAAATAAGCTATTATATTATTTTATTAAGTAATAAAAGGCAGTAATAATTTTACTTAAAAATAAATTATATATATAATATAAAAGACTACTTAATAAAATAATATACCCTATATAAAAGTAATAAACCCTTATAATAACTACTATAAGATAAGTTAATAGTTAACTAAAGTTTAGCGCTATTATAAATAACTATAATAACTAAAGGCAATAAGAAACTAATAATAACTATTACTAAGATAATAATTATTATTATAAAAATTTATAATTTTAATACTATTAGCGCTATAAAGAAAGTTTATTAAAGCCTAAAGAATAAATAAAGCAAAAGAGAGTAATTTAAATTAATTATAAAAAAAATATATAAATTAATTAAGCTATTGCTAAGTAAAAGAATTAGTAAAGTATTATTAGTTAATAACTATTAAATAAAGGTTTAATAATAATTATTTTAATTTTAGCTCTTAGGTAATTTATTTTTTATACTTAGGAAAAATATAATTATTATAAATATAAAATAAATACTAAGTATTAAATAAAAGCTAAAATTAAAAAAATTAATTTAATAATTATTAATAATTATAAAAAAAGTTTCTAAAATATTAAAATATATATTAATAAAATAATTAATTAAGTATAAAGTTATTAAGTAAAAAAGTTTATAAAAATATTTTTTAAAAAAATTATTAATTTAAGAAAAAAATAATATAAAATTAATAATATAAAAAATATAAATAAAAATAAAAACTATAATAATAATAAAGTTTATAATAAAAATAATAATAATAATAAAAATAATAATAAGAATTAAAGGCTTATTAATAAATTAATTTAGTAAGTTAATTAAGCTAATTTAAGTAAAAGTAATTTATTAATTTCTTAAGAAATAATAATTAAAAAAATAAATTCTAAGAAAATAATATTTTTATTAATAAGTTTTTTTTTAATTTTTAGTAATTTTAATTAAATAAAGCTTTTTAAAAATTATTTATAATTATTTAATAATATAATATTATAAAAGTTATATTTATTATTAAAAAGTTTAGTAAAATTATAATAATTAAATTAAAAAAAAATTATATTTTAGCCTTTAATTTAAAATCTAAAATTAATTTATAACTTAACTTAGTTTATTATAATTAATTAAGTTAAATTTTAAAAATTTAAGTTATAAAGTATAATTATTAATTAAGGTTTAAAAGTAAACTTAAAATATATAAAAAAGCCTGAATAATAAAGTTTAAAATTAATATAATTAGCTTTAAAATTATAATTTATAATTTAATAACTTAATTAAATTAAATAAATTATATTATTTTATTAAGTTATAAAAAGTAATAATAATTTTACTTAAAAATAAATTATATATATAATACTTTTAAAGTTTAAAAACTACTTAATAAAATAATATATTATAAAAGTAATAAACCCTTATAATAAAAAATAAATTAATAATTAACTAAAGTTATAAATAATTATAATAACTAAAAGTAATAAAAAACTAATAGTAATTATTACTAAAATAATAATTATTATTATTAAAATTTATAATTTTAATATTATTAATATTATAAAAAAAGTTTACTAAAGCCTAAAGAATAAATAAAGTAAAAAGAAATAATTTAAATTAATTATAAAAAAGAAAATATAAATTAATTAAGTTAATTAATAATTATTAAATAAAAATTTAATAATAATTATTTTAATTTTAATTCTTAAGTAATTTATTTTCCTTACTTAAGAAAAATACTTAATATTTATAATTTTTACTTAATATTAATTTAAAAAACTATAATTAAAATAATGTTTTTTATAAATTTTTAAAAAATTATAAAAATATTTAATTTAAGTTTATAACTTTTTTAATTATTAATAAAAAAAATTAAATAAGTTTTTAAAGTTTTTATATAATTTTAAAAAGTTATTTAAAAAAATTAATATTTTTTTTATATTATAATAACTTAAATATTTATATTAAATTATATTTAAATAAGTAAAAAAATTATTTTAAGCTCCCTTAGGGCTTATTATATAATATATTTTAAGATTATTTATTAAATTTATAAAAATATATTATTAATTTCTCTCTTAAGTATAAAAAATAAACTACCTAAGAGCTAAAATTATAAAATTAATATAATTATTATTAAATCTTTATTTAGTAACTATTAGCTAACTTAACTAATTTATATTTTCTTTTTTATAATTAATTTAAGTTACTTTCTTTTATTTTATTTATTCTTTAGGCTTTAGTAAACTTTCTTTATAATATTAATAATATTAAAATTATAAATTTTTATAATAATAGCTATTATCTTAGTAATAGTTTTTAGTTAGTTATTAATTTATTTTATAATTATTATAAGGGTTTATTACTTTTATATAAAGTATATTATTTTATTAAGTAGTTTTTTATATTATATATATAATTTATTTTTAAGTAAAATTATTATTATTTCTTATAACTTAATAAAATAATTTTATTTAATTTAATTAAGTTATTAAATTATAAATTATAAACTTAAAGTTAATTATATTATACTTAAACTTTATTATTTAAGCTTTTTTATATATATATATATATTTAAGTTTAATTTTAAACCTTAATTAATAATTATATTTTATAACTTAAATTTTTAAAGTTTAATTTAGTTAATTATAATTAATTAAGTTAAGTTATAAATTAATTTTAGATTTTAAACTAAAAACTAAAATATAATTTTCCTTTAACTTAATTATTATAACTTTATTAAACTTTTTAATAATAAATATAACTTTTATATTAATAATTACTTTTTTTTAATTTAATTATATTTCTTAAAGTTATTAAAATATAATTTAATTTAATTCTTAGGTTTTTTAATAAATTAACTTTTTATAATATTAATTTATTTTTTTAGTAAAATTATAATAATTAAAAAATATTTAAAATAAGCTTTTATATTAATAAAAAATTCTTTAATTTTATATAAATTATTATTAAATAATATTAATATTAATAATTTAATAATTTCTTTTAGTTTTTTTTATATAAACCCCTTTACTAATATAAAGCTATTAATAATTATTTTTATTATTATTAAGTATTAAGTTATTCTTTAAGTATATTAATAATATTTTATTAATCCTTAATAATTTATTTTATTTAAGTAATTAAGCTTTTAAAATTTAAAAAATACTATTATATATTTATATTATTAATTAATAGCACTTATAATAATTACTAAGTTATAAAATTAACTTTTTATATATTAGGATTTATAGTTTTAGTAATTTCCTTAAATAATTTTAAAAACATTATATTACTATTATATATACTTTAGGCTTTACTTTTTTAATTTATTTTTATATTTAAACTTAAAAATTAATTATTTAATATCCTTATAAAAATATTACTTATAATTTAAAGTAATTAATTAAATAAAAGTTATAAATATATAATAAGTTAAGCTTTTATAAGTTAATATAAAAAAAAATCCTAAGAGATAAACTTTATATTAAATTTATATTAGTAAATAAACTAAGTTAAATTAGTAAGTAATTAATAAAAAATAATAAATAAAGTATTTATATAATTAGTAAATAATATTTTATAAATATAATTAAGTATTATTTTATATTTATAATTAATTATTTAATTATTTTAAATAAATATAAAAAATAAAACTTATATATTTAATTATACTTAACTAAATTAATAAATAATTTAATAATTTATTTATAAATTAATATTTATTTTATTAATTTTATATTAAATTAAAAGAATATTTCTTAATTCTTCTTTAATTAATTAAAAAAATTAATATTAATTTAGTAATACTTATTATATTAGCTCCTTAGTTATAATTCTAAATATTAAGTTATAATAAAATTATTATTATTTTTTATAACTTAATAAAATAATTAATTTATTTAATTTAATTAAGTTATTAAATTATAAATTATAAACTTAAAGTTAATTATATTATATTTAAATTTTATTATTTAGGCCTTTATATATATATATTTAAATTTAATTTTAAACTTTAATTAATTATACTTTATAATTTAAATTTTTAAATTTTAATTTAATTAATTATAATTAATTAAGTTAAATTATAAATTAATTATAAAATTTAAATTAAAAACTAAAATATAATTTTTCTTTAATTTAATTATTATAACTTTATTAAACTTTTTAATAATAAATATAATTTTTATAAAATAAAGTAATTAATAATAAATTAAGAAATAAATATTAATTACTTAAATAATATATTTATTAACTTAGTAAAGCTAAAAGTAATAAATAATTTTTAAATATAATTTATTAATATATTATTATTTACTTTTTTTTAATATAATTATTAATTTAATAAAATTAAAAATAATAATATAAAAGTTATATTTATTATTAAAAAGTTTAATAAAATTATAATAATTAAGTTAAAGAAAAACTATACTTTAGCCTTTAGTTTAAAATCTAAAATTAATTTATAACTTAACTTAATTAATTATAGCTAATTAAGTTAAATTTTAAAAATTTAAGTTATAAAATATAATTACTAATTAAAGTTTAAGACTAAACTTAAATATATATATATATATATAAAAGCCTAAATAATAAGGTTTAAGTATAATATAAGCTTTAAGTCTATAACTTATAGTTTAATAACTTAACTAAACTAAATAGGCTGTTATATTATTCTATTAAGTTATAAAAGGTAGTAATAATCCTAAAGGTAATAATATAATATAAAAAAGAAATATAATAGCTAAGATTATAAATATAATTATTATTTTAGTAAGGCTAAGTATAATAGTAAAATCTTTAGTTATTTATAAGTAACTTTTTTAAGTTTATTTATATATAATAATAAAAACAATTTCTAGGAGCTGCCGGACCGCAGAAACCTTTGAGCCAACAGCATCGAATATGGTGCCGCGACATGCCGAAAACATACACTCTGGCCACAAAACGGGTAACGGCACCGTCGGATGTATTTCCAGCAAGGTCCATTCTCGGGATTTGCGCTTTGGGCTTCCACACTTTCCTTGAAGGCTGGTGGGATAAAGACATCGATGTGTCGATGGTTAATGAAGACGGACAGGACTTGCTTTCAATTGCTGCCAAACATGGCCACCGCAGTCTCTGCTCTGACCTTGTCAACCGCGGAAGCGATATCAACAGAACCTTGGAAAGCGATTGGGGGAGTGCATTAGGTGAAGCCCTTGTGCATGAACAGGCTGAAACAGCGACATTCTTGCTAGATCAAGGCTTCAACCCTGACATCTATATGCCGCCATGTGGTCGAAGCCTTCTCTGTTTTGCGGTTCAGATGGCAGAATGGTCAATTGAAATGTTTCTCAAAGCAGGAGCGGATCCAAATATCCAGTGCCAGGATTGCGCCTACGGTTGCGCATTAGAAGCAGCTTCCCAAGGCGGAATGATCGACTCAGCAAAGACGTTGATCAAATATGGGGCAGATGTAAATCTCGTACAATCTACAGGGAAAAGGTTCGGAAGTCCCCTGGCCGCAGCCGCCTATGGAGGATCGCTGGAGTGCGTCAAGCTTCTCATAAAGCACGGTGCCAGCGTGAATGCGCAACTGAAGCGCGGTGATTACGGCAGTCCATTGGCAGCAGCCGCAAGTGGACCGTCGCTGGAGTGCGTCAAGCTTCTTATCGAGTATGGCGCCGATGTAAATGCACAACTAAACCACGGAATATATGGCAGTGCATTGGGGGCTGCTCTTCATGGGTTGCCCCCTAGCAATGAGATTATCAAGTACTTAGTTGAAGAGGCAGGGGCAGATGCTAGCATTCTATCATCATGCCTAAAGTTGCTGGGCCAACTTCAGAGCAAACACGCCCTTCCAAAAGCAAGATATCTTGTGGAGAAAGGCCATATTCAGGCCAGTGTTTTGGCTGACCTCGGGCTGCAGGTATAGCGCAAGTGCTGTTACATACCTAGTACAATATCAATGTTGTAGGATCGACTTGCCAATATGAAAGTCCACGTCCATCCCTCCTCCGATGGACAAGTGGCAAGTTCCTTTCACGGACAGTCATGACGCTTGTACCGTACATTGACATCCGTACATACACGGACATACCTGTAGGTACTAAGGAAGTCAATATAGGCATACTGTGGCGCAATTGTACCTGCTCGCCGTTTATTTTCCTCATGCCAAAGCCATTCCTGGCAGCAAAGTGTTCAAGATACTCGAAAAGTGACTGAAAGGTTGGTGCAGATCCAATTTCGCCTTTGGGAGCTGTACCAAAACAGTTGCGCTGTGATGAGAAGAAGGTTGAAATTTACACGTGACACGCAACAGCGGCATAATGATGCTTGGCGTATGGAGTGGGTTTTTAAAGATAAGATAAGATAAGATAAGAGATGGAGGGGTCACCCAAGAAATTGGTGGCATTCAATTTTTTTCCCCAGTCATCAATCAATCTAGATCCCATCCTTGGATAACAGCATTCAGACAAGATGGCCACCGATACCGATGCCGAGGCGCCTCACAACAATTTCGACGTGTGTAAATTCCCAAATTGCAGTTTTTTTTCGGTCTCCCCCAGTAGCACCCACATTGTTACCCTCATCCCTGTCTTCCTACAAGCTACACACGTGCAGGACTGATTCGATTCGTTACAGACCATCTTGGTGTTGGATTTTGGCAGCCAAACCTCGCACCTCATCCTCCGACGCCTGCGAGCTCTCAGTGTCTACGCTGAGATGCTGCCCTGCACTGCCAAGCTCGCCGATCTAACCTGGAAGCCCAAGGGCATCATCTTGTCTGGAGGTAGGAATCTTTATGGGTCTCGCTCCGTCTTTAATTTTATTCTAACAAGCTCAATCGATAGGTCCCTCCTCCGTCTACGATGAAGGCTCGCCTCGTAAGATCCACATCCTCCACATCCGGCCTACGAGTCTTACTGATTCATAAAAGATGTCGACCCTGCTGTCTTTGAGCTTGGTGTTCCTATTTTGTGAGTGCATTGGAACCCCTTGGTTGGATAAATGCGCTCTTACTGACACATATTTACAGAGGCATCTGGTATGACTCCATTTAAGCCCCATCATGGCACGGTGCTAATGCCGTGATTTCAGCTATGGTTGCCAGGTGAGTTCCACCATTTATATCTCATTGCATTGCATTGCGACTAACTGCGTGCAGGAAATTGCTTGGCAGAGCAACTCTGAGAACGTTGCTCGTGGAACAGCTCGAGGTTCGGATATATCCATGAAACCCCCGACCTCACATCTTCTGACAACTCGACTGCACAGAATATGGTCACGCCGACGTCACCATTCACAAAGTCGGCAGCCATGCTGACCGTCTCTTCTCTGGCTTGGGCGAGACCATGCATGGTGAGCCTCCTCCCATTCGATATATAACATCCCTGTCTTCTACAAACCTAACACTCTAGCAGCCTACATGAGTCACTTTGACAAGCTCGTCCGCCTGCCTGAGGGCTTTGTAGTCGTGGCTAAGACGGCCAACTCCGAATTTGCTGGCATTGCCCACCAGACTAAGCCAATTTTCGGTGAGTTTTCCTCCCCATCTCCATCCTTCATACCACCCATCCGTCCGTTAATTCTCATGTTCTGCTGCCCCTCTACCTTCTCCTTTCGCCACCTCCACCTTCTTTCTCTTTTGCCTTGCATACTTACCGTAATCTGACATCATCAACTCTGTACCTACCGACTGACTTGAAATATCGACAGGTGTACAATTTCACCCCGAGCTTGAACATGTATGTTCATCAGTCCCTTCCTGTCTCGTTCACTCCTTGTTACTTGACTAACTGAGACATCTAACAGACTCCCCGTGGAAGTGAACTCTTGCGCAACTTCAGTGTCGACATTTGTGGAGCGCAACCCAACTGGAAAATGAGCGACTTCATCGAGCAGGAGATCACTCGAATTAGAAATCTTGTTGGCGATAAAGCCCAAGTCATCGGTGCCGTTTCTGGTGGCGTGGACAGCACAGTGGCAGCCAAGCTTATGACGGAAGCAATCGGTACGATCCTAATGGCTGTCAGGGATGTGTATTGAGGCTAACGCAAATGCAGGTGACCGCTTTCATGCCGTGCACATCGACAATGGTATGACCCAAACCTCTCACATGAGTCCGACCGACACTAACATGTGGCAGGATTGATGCGTCTCAACGAGTCCAAGAAAGTAAAGGAGACGCTGAAAGAGCATCTCGGAATTAATCTCACAGTGATTGATGGCACCGAGCTTTTTCTCGGCCGTCTCAAGGGCGTCACAGAGCCAGAGAAAAAGCGCAAGATTATTGGAGAAACCTTTGTATGTTCTCGACCTCGAAATCTTGCCACGAAGTTCAGAACTCCAGTAGCGCTAACCTAATCATAGATCGATTTGTTCGAGAAGGAAGCCATCAGGATTGAGAAGGAAGCCGAGAATACCCCCAACGCCGGAAAGGTTTCTTGGTTTCTCCAGGGAACGGTATGCTCCCCTGGCTCATGGTCATTGATATGATGCATAGATTGATGCTAAAACTACCCATGATATAGCTGTACCCGGACGTGTAAGTAGAGTGGCTTATATGCTAGGAGAAGCGTAACTCACTGTTTACAGCATAGAATCTCTTTCCTTCAAAGGCCCTTCAGCAACCATAAAAAGTTTGTAGCCTAACTAGACACCAAGATCCGCAATTGCTAACTCCGAACGTAGCCCATCACAACGTTGGAGGTCTACCCAAGGCAAGTATCTCTTTCTCCCGCTGCTTTCCTTCGGACGGTGTCAAAGGGCGGCTGGTGTCCGATCGGTCTACGAGCCAATTGACACTGTCTACACCACAGCCCTCATTTCTCATTTCATTTGCTAAGCTTTCACTAACCAAGGTATAGCGCATGATGGATGGTGTAAGCCAAACGCCCTGTATTATTATTCGCTCCGCATCTTGACTGACCCCGGCGATTACAGCAAGGCTTACGGGTGAGTTGATGCTTCCCCATGTCAAGCAGATTCCCCCTCCCCAAATTTCTCAAGACCACCATCCACCCAAACCGGTCAAGACACGCTGTCCCTCCCTCCTCCGTTGGCTGCTGCCGTGAAGAGGGGCAGGGGGGCAAAAGATAGTATGAACAAATTTGACTGACCGTAATCCAGCTCCTTGAGCCACTGCGTGAGCTATTCAAGGACGAAGTCAGAAGCCTTGGTCGACGCCTAAAAATTCACGAAGATCTGGTCAACAGATTTCCCTTCCCAGGGTAAGTTCATTCTCTATAAACTTGTCGTTGCCAAAAGTCCACTGCAGCAGGGCACACCTACAGCAGCAAGTCATGCTATGAAGAGTAAGCTGATTTAATTTTACGAATTACACAGGCCCGGCATTGGCGTACGCATCCTTGGAGAGTGCACACCTGTAAGCCAGCAGAGAACACAAGGCGTAATTGAGCTATGAGCTAACAATCATAAAGGAACGTATTGAAATCGCAAGGCAAGCCGATCACATCTTCATCTCCATGATCAAAGAAGCCGGAATCTACAATGAGGTAAGTCGACATACTATCAATGGTTCGAGCAGCAGCTGACTCTGCAATAGATTTCCCAGGCCTACGCTGGGTTAGATACGAGCAAGGGTATATACTTCAGAGATGCGCCAGTTGGGAGAGCATTTTGTCTCGTTGCTAACCGAACTGTTTTCTTATAGCTGTTGGTGTGATGGGTGACACCCGTGTCTATGGGTATATCATCATGTAAGCTATTATACGCCAGAATCCCCACCCCTTACTTGAATAGTTCCGTTCTAATTTCATTGATAGCCTTCGCGCTGTTACAACCAGCGACTTTATGAGTGCCGAGCCTTACGAGTTTCCCTTCTCCTTACTCAAGGCCATGGCCCGCAGAATTGTCAATGAGGTGGATGGAGTTTCGCGTGTCACATATGATCTGTATGTTCCCTTTTTCCCTCCCGATTTAGGAATGCTGGCTAATATCTGATAGTTCTTCCAAACCCCCCGGAACTATTGAATTAGAGTAAGAAGGTTATGTCAACAAGTGAGGAGAATGTACTTGAGATTTGCTATATAGACAGCACCTTCTGCTACCACGCCATACACTGAGCCTCCTATGAGCCTTTCCGATCGCTTGGGTATCAGAACATATTCTAAGGCAGGAATACGCTCAAACAGCTAAGCTACATTTCCAAGTATCAGCGCCTGTGCGGATGGCAAGACTCTTAAAATAAAACACAAATCAAGAAAGAGTCTTAATACAAGCTGTAATTTATGAAGGCTTTGTAATAGAGCTACAGAGTAGTTTATTTACTTTTTAATATTATTATTAACTTCTTATATTTAAACCTAAAGTTTATTAAAAATTCTAAAGGAAAAGGAAAATACTAAAGGAAAAGGGTATTAAAAAAAAAGTACTAGAGAATAAGCTTAAGTATATTAAAAAAATAAGAAAAAAGCTATTTATAAAAGTAAAAGTTATATTTATTATTAAAAAGTTTAGTAAAGTTATAATAACTAAGTTAAAGGAAAATTATACTTTAGCTTTTAGTTTAAAATTTAAAATTAAATTATAATTTAACTTAATTAATTATAATTAATTAAGTTAAATTTTAAAAATTTAGGTTATAAAGTATAATTAATTAAGGTTTAAAATTAAATTTAAATATATATATATATAAAAAGCTTAAATAATAAAATTTAAGTATAATATAATTAATTTTAAGTTTATAATTTATAATTTAATAACTTAATTAAATTAAGTAAAATTAGTTTATTAATTATAAAAAATAATAATTTTTAAAAATAAATTATATATATAATATAAAAAATTACTTAATAAAATAATATATTATATATATAATAAATTTTTATAATAATTAAAAATAAATTAATAATTAATTAAAGTTATAAATAATTATAATAATTAAAAATAATAAAAAATTAATAATAATTATTACTAAAATAATAATTATAAAGGAAATTATATTTATTATTAAAAAGTTTAGTAAAGTTATAATAGCTAAATTAAAAAAAAGTTATATTTTAGCCTTTAGTTTAAAATCTAAAATTAATTTATAACTTAATTTAATTAATTATATTTAATTAAGTTAAATTTTAAAAATTTAGGCTATAAAGTATAATTAATTAAAGTTTAAAACTAAATTTAAATATATATATATATATATAAAAAGGCCTAAATAATAAAGTTTAAGTATAATATAAACTTTAAGTTTATAATTTATAATTTAATAACTTAATTAAATTAAATAAGTTAATTATTTTATTAAGTTATAAAAAGTAATAATAATTTTTAAAAATAAATTATATATATAATATAAAAA